ATGTCGGTTGCCATGGATACCGTACAGATGGAGACTGCACGACTGAACAACAAGGTCAGATATACGGATTATTCTTAACCGTCACCCCGCTATGTCCCCACGCGGGACAGGTGAGTATAAAAATGTTCATCCGTCCCATCTTTTGCGTCGAGGGGACGGTTGGAACTGATTTTGTTCCTTAACGGTTCCATCTGTCACCTTATTGGTGATAGTGGGACGGATGAAACTTTATTCTTATCTTTAATTAAATTAAAATTAATCTTTAATAACAATTAAGAATTAAAAAAGAAACAAAAGTGAGTAGTCTATATATCCTTCCAGACTATCTCTCTATCTCTATATATATCTTTACCAATTTCATCGAGATCCGTTCATCCGTTTAGGCTACTAACTCTAACATCCATCCATCCATCTAAACTTTCGCATTCATCATATTAGTATTATAACAAACAGTAATTTTTTCAGGAAGAAACTCTACAGAACCAAATAAAAGAAGCAGAACATACTTTAAGAAAGCGAGGAGAAGAAATGAGAAATCAGATAATGAACGAAATGGTACAATTAGAGTCTCGCTTACACTCTATGAGGATAGAAAGAGATGCGATAGAAAGAGAGAGAAGTGAATTAGAGAAGTTAAAAGAGATATGCGATAGTAATACTAAAATTAGTCTACACAATATGAAAGAAAGAGACGAACTGAATTCTCAATACAATTTGTTAAGAACTGAATTATCAAGTTTGAAGGGTTTCTCTACTAAATGTTTAGTGGAAACAGGGGTTATGACGGACACAGCTATGAACAATCAACAGGATATTGAACGTGTAAAGAGTGAAGATGCGATACGAAAACCAAATCAATTAGTGAATGATTTAAAGAAAATGAAAAATGTCAACTTCAATCAGGTAAAGTTAATTTAAGTATATGTTAAACTAGCTTTCGCCCGCGACTCCGTCTGCGTAGAATTAAAAAAAAATTATATAGCCTACATGTTCTTCCAGAATATCCTCTATATCTATGTCAAATTTCATCGAAATCTGTTAAGCCGTTTAGGCTACA